CTAAACTCTAAACCCTTAAACCCTAAACCCAAAACCCTTAAACCCTAAACCCTTAAACCCTAAACCCTTAAACCCTAAACCCTTAAACCCTAAGCCCTAAACCCCAATCCTAGGTGCCAACCCGGAACCCTTCATCTGCCGCTCCGGATGAAACCTCAAGAATACTGCTAGCAACTATTTGGGAGTTTCCAACAATGGGGGACCCTAATTTAGTACCCTAAATAGTAGGAGCCTTATCATAAGGACCCCCCAATAATGTACCCTCTCATTGATGGAAACTCCCAGTTAGGCTTTGATTGTACTACAGAGACCTGAATATTTAAGTAGAATCAAGTAGAACAGGGCGGGGTATACGATAGCTTGTTGCAAGAAGGGGCCCTCAGAAATTATGCAGGCTTGTATATTGCACTCCCTCTTACCCTGGGACTGCGGTGGTCCAGCTGGCCGAAGAAGAAGGTTTCGCCGGCCAGCAGCACTGCAGTCTCGACGTGAGGCATCAGCAGAAAGACATTGGCCTGCCAATAAAGAGAGAAAAACCCTCTCAGAGGCTAAGCATATGCGGCCTGGGGTGACCTATAGTATTTGGGCTGTTGGATCTTAGGTTCATGTTTTGGGGGGTTCGGGATTTGGGGTGTAGGAATCAGGCACAATTACGGTGACCACCCTGAAATGCCATTTTCGCGTCTTAATCCGGAGCACTAAGTCTAAACCCCCAGTCTTCGACCAAGAAGTGGATGAAGACCAATAGTTCTAGGGTTTAGGGTTTAGGGTTTAGGGTTTAGGGTTTAGGGTTTAGGGTTTACGCCTAAGGCTCAGGGCAAAATGCCGAGGGAGGTTACCAGGTTCGCATGGCCTCTGTCAGAAGGGTGCTTATATCTGCACGCTTCGACTTGAAGGCAACTCAACCACGCGCAGCTTCAAACCTACAGCCCCAAGCCCGTAAACACACACACACACACACAAGCACACACACAAAGTAAGAAAGAACTCTACAGGCAAAACTCTAATCCCGACTCCATAACCGCTCAAATCAACAGCCCCAGGCCCCAAAGCTGAAGTCCGGAAGCAATCAAAGCCCTGAGCAGTAGAACGAGCGATGGAACGAACTAGAATGTCCGAACATGAGCGGCTTAGGAGCTTAGGATTTCGGGCTCAGGGTTTGGGGTTAAGGAGGCTGCTTCAGTGAGAACAGTGCTGGTTATTCGGCAAGTATGATGTCGCGCCGCTGCAGTGCAACTAAAGCCTACACCCTAGACCCTAAAGCCTTTCTTTACAGGAACAAAGAGTACGTTTTTTTTGTTTCAGGGTCTTCTCTCACACCGCAAGTCGGGTCGAGGGGATGTGGTAAAGCGATGTTCAAAGCTCTGGGGTCGAGGGGCGCAGGGTTTTGGGGCACGGCATTCGGGGCATAGGGTTGAGAGCTTTACGGGTTTCACAAGTTTGGTGCTTTGCACAATTTCCCAGCTCGCCTCCATCCATGCGAGGACGCCGACTTTCCGCCGATTCTGGTCAAAAAGCTCCTGGGAAGAGTCGACCACGCTCGCATGGTTGGAGGGCGTAGGGCTCCAACCCCGAAACCCCAAACCCTACATTGCGGTAGAGTTTGCGCTTTAGGTGAGGCTGGCAGAACTTGTACTCTAAGCCACTAAAACCTAAACCCAGAATGAGCAAACAATTTCGGTCATCCGAGCAATGCGCAGCGGGTGACCCCCGATCCTCCTAAGAGGGAGCCCGAATAACTAGAATAAGGTTGCTTAGGGCTGCTTATTCTATGAATGCACCCCTACACCCCCTTCTAAGTATCAAGGCCCCCAGACCCTACAACCTGAACTCCATAGTACCATTTGTTGCAACTTCGGGTTTAGGTTACAAGGCCTGAGCACGGGCCAATGTCGCTGCAGTCAAGGGGCCGTGATAGGCTCACACTCCTCGGTCGCGTCAAAACATGTAAACCGAAGAAACAGCAAGCCGGCCCACGGTCAAAGTTTTGAAATATCTCCATTATAGGAACTCTAACATAGCTTCGATAGCGTAGGGTATCTCTAGTATGGTTGTGTACAAGCCCCTTCCGACTAGACAGATTTCATCCCAAAAGGGCCGACATGTCCTTTGCCTGCCTTCCGTTGAGCTCCTCCGTTTTTGCTGCTGGCTAATAGTGTTGTTTCTTGCTCTACTTCTACTTCTGCTTCTGCTACGGCGACTGCTACTGCCAGTTCTGGTGCTAGTGCTACTGCTGCTGCTATTTCTACTCCTACTCCTACTCCTACTCCTACTCCTACTCCTACTCCTACTCCTCCTACTACGACTACCACTACCACTACCACTACCACTACTACTACCACTACCACTACTACCACTACTACCACTACCACTACCACTACCACTACCACTACCACTACTACTACTACTACTACTACTACTACTACTACTACTACTACTACTACTACTACTACTACTACGACTACTACGACTACTACGACTACTACGACTACTACGACTACTACGACTACTACGACTACTACGACTACGACGCTACGACGACGACGACTACTACTACTACTACTGCTACTACTGCTGGTACTGCTTTCTTATTAGCGATGCGGCTTCCTGCGTTGACCCTCAATACTGGCGTTAGTATGATGATGGTCATGATGATTCATGCTGTTGAGATCATTATTGTAACTGCTCTTGTCGATCATGCATTCTTGCTCATGTTATGATTGGTAGTCATGCGGGCCCCCATACTAGCCAAGCGGCTTGGCGCACCCGAAGACCTCCTGAGAAGTCTGATCCGCCCCACCTGCTGTGGATTTTTGAAGCAAGCCCGAAACCCCAAATCCCTAAACCCTAAACCCTATCCCAACCCTAAGAACCTACACCCTAAACCCTATCCCAAACCCCGAAAACCCCTACACTCTAAACCCCTAACCCCCCAAACTAAAAACCTACACCCTAAACCCTAAAACCTAGCGATGGGAGCTTTAAACCCAGAGACTTCCTAGGACCAAAAGCCTGAACCCTTAACCCGACAGTTTTCGGGCTTAGGGTGGGAACCCAAAACTTACCAAACCATAGGCGCTAACCCCTAAACTCCAAAACTCCGAAACCCTAAACCCTAAACCCCTAAATCCTAAGCCCCTAAACCCTGGACCCTAAACCTCTAAACCCCTACACTCTAAACCCCTAAACCCCTGAACAGTGCATAGTATGTCGGCCTTTCGTTGACGGCAGTTGTTGCCAGCTGCAGTTCATCGATGAGGCGCCCTCGTGCGGAGGATGCCACATCGATCCTCAGCTCTGGGGCCGTTCGGGCTCCTACGGTTGATGATATAGATCCTGCATGACCTTAAGGACCCTAAAGTATGGGAATTATGGTATATTCCTTATTCTGGGTACTGCAGGATTTATATCATCAACAGTATTGGAGGCCTCAAAAGGTGGGAGGAAAGCAGGTAGGATTAAGGATCCCCTATATAAGCACTCTTATTTGGGAATTACCCTACCTACCTTCATCCTACCTTTTGAGGCCCCCTGATCCTACGGTCTTCAAGGTTAAGCGTTTTAGGGCTTAGGGTTCAGGGTTCAGGGTTTAGTGTTTAGGGTTAGGGTTGGGCTTGGGGTTTAGGGTTTAGGGGGCCCCGGGGCCTTTGGGGTAAGGGTTTATATGTCGGGGTTTGAGGCTTAAGGTTTGGGGTTTCGGGCCCGAGGACAGAAGGATGTGGGGGTAGGGCCTTGTGGTTTCAGGTGCAGGGTGGAACACTACTGGGGATGCTTGAGACACCAATTTGGATTTGAAAGGGGAGCCCAAGACCCATCAAGGATTATGAAAGCTTTGAGCACTGGAACTGTACCAACTGGACACGGTTGGACCGGATACTAGGGATGGAAGGTTTTAACAGGGGCTCGAACTGAATCAATTGAGGGGCCTGAACAATTCTAATTCGCGACTCCCGAATAGTTGTGTTCTCGAAGAAAAACTCCGGAACAACCCTCCAATTAGTGCGGCTTGTATCTTCGGGACCCCTAAAGGGGCCCTCATCGAGAACAAGCCACACAGGAATCACTTCGGAAAAGCTGAGGGCTGCGCACGAGGTCAGCAACCCGATACATGCGAAGCACCAAGACCTGAAATTACAGAGGCTTGGGGGTTTAGGGGCTCAGGGGGTCTAGGGGTTTAGGGTTCAAAGGTCTGGGGATTAGGATGGTTTGATGGCTGCGGGTGTAGGGTTGAACGCAGTACGCGGGTTTCGTCCTCGTGCTACGGTCAATGTCAGCAGAACTCTGTACCCTAGCTATTTGCTACTAGAACTCCTCCGTTCCTTCTTCATCTTGGACCTGGATAATGATCATCAGGACATAGTACCCTCGCAGCTCTTGTGATTCCAATTGTACGTACTGCCATGACGACAGCAGCAGCAGGATAATGAGGAGTAGCAGCCCTAAACCGTAAACCCTAAACCCCTAAACCCTAAACCCCTTCAAGGCCAGCACACACAAAGCCCTGCCAATTCCGAACATCGCGCCCGGGCCCTCCCTAGGCTGTGATGTGTAGGGGCGGCACTAAATTTACTGTTGTTGATATACCAAGAGTCACGATTGTAGTTCCTTTTTTGGTTTAACCAAATATATAATTAGGATCCTATGAGGTAACACCAAAAAGGAACTACGATGGAGACTATAGGTAAAGCCTGCTTTGCCTGAACGGACCCTAAACTATGGGAATTATGGTATATTCCTTATTATTAGGGTAATGCAGGATTTATGTCATCAGCCGTACTACTTATTAAGTTATTGCCAGGCCCATAGTATCGCAGACGCATGTTTCAGTTCGTTAAACGATCACACGCAACCCCCTCCCCGAAACCCCACACACTCACTCACTCACGCGCCAGAGGAAGGTCCTGTGCTATCCACGACATGCATGGGCCGAAAAGCAGTGCTGCTATAGCACTGCGGCCAGAAACTAGAGAAAACGGGAGCCTGTACAAAAACGAAAGGCCTCAAGCCGCCGGATAGGCCCAGAAAGCCCGCACGGAGAGCGAGGACGGGGCCGAAAGAGCAGAGCCGGCGATGACAGCGCGAGCAGACGAGGCCAGGAAAGCAGAGCTCGCAGCCAGAAACACAGGACCAGCAGGGGACCAGAAGTCCAGGAAGACTGCGGAAGGAAGCAATCGCCGCAAGAGGACAAGGCCCTGTTGACTGGGGCGCCCGGGAATCCAAAGGGCGCCCATCCGTAAAACGACCTTACAGGTCATACGGAAGGAGATCAAGGCGGCATGGGGGAAGACGAAAGACCCCACCCTTGGCAAGAAGCCCGGGCCACCAGGGCGTAGGCAGAGCCCAATCCTGGCCTGAGGCAGCCCCATCAACGAATGAGAACCAAGGAGGTTGAGGGCCCACAGATGGAAGAGGTGGGGTGATGCAGGAGAGGGAAGGCCCCGAGACTGGGGCCGTAGCGAGGGAGAGCCCAAGTTCGGCAGGGGTTGGTGCAGCGAGGGAGGACCCCGCAGCGGCCCGTTGCAAGTTGCCGGGGACGAGGTCGGAGAGGGCCGGCGAGCGCTGCACAGCATCCCACTCCTGTTGCAGCTCCTCCTCATCAGCAGGCAGACCCAAATCCGCGGCACGGCGCTGTGCTGGCGTGGCATTGCAGGGCCCACATAGGCGTTGTGGGGGAACACCCCTATGGGCCGTTCTACCCTTGCGTTTAGTGCCCGACCCATATTGGTAGACAGGCCCCACCGTCACCCGCAGTCCGTGCAAGCAGGCCCGGTGGGATTGCAGATGGTATTTCAACCGGTCAGAAGAGTGGAAGTCCTGCATGCACCAGAGGCAGACAGAGCCGGCCATGTATGCCGTCACGTCGGACAGCACACCATGTTTGCGATGCAGGTGGGCTCGGACCGCGTGCAGGCTCGGGAAGATGATGCTGCACACAGGGCATCGATGAGCCTGGGGGGGACCTAAGATTTGGGTGACCCTGCGGGTAGAGAGGTCTTCCCAAAGCTGAGCACAGGCAATGTACCGATGACCGAACTTGCTGAGTGCCTTGCAGGCACGAAGAAGAGCACGGCTGTGGTCTTGGACGAACAAAGCCGTGACGGCGGGGGGGGAAGTAGGATCCCAAACCGCAAGCGCAACGCCAACCCTCATACATGCCGCGACGAGGGCCTGGCACCAAGGGAGGGCCCTATTCCACGCCGCGTCGACGATGTCACGCACTGCCGTGGGTGCCTTGCAGAAAAGCTGGACGCACAGGCGACACTGACTGATGGTGGTAGCCAGGTCAGGAGGGGTTATGTCAGCGAGGAGCCGAAGCAGTGGGGTGGTGAGCTTGTGCCCAACCTGCCATGAGGACAACAGGATCCTGGCCGTGCGTTCAAAAAGACCCGCAAGAGGGGCCGTTGCGCGGCCGGAGTCAGCCAGAGACAGAGCAAGGGAGGAGTACGCTGAGGGCAGGACTCGTCCCGCGACCCAGGCCCGTTTGAGTTCCCAGGGCAAACAATTGCTGCAGAGGAGAGTGCGAGCAAGGGAGGCCGCAGCGGAGCCTCGTTGGGCAGCAAGCTCGCAGTCGCGGCGGCCCGTATCCCGAGGCAGCTGAGCCACACCCAGATACTTGTACTCGGGACACAACTTGATGCTGTCAGAATCAGAGATCTTCAACATGGCGTCGCCAGTGAGAAGAGCACCGCGGGCCGCTCGAGCACCCTCCCCCCGGATGTCAACAAGGGCCTCAGTTTTACCCGCACCCAAATTAACACGAAATCGGAGGAGTCGGAGAGTGTCAAGGATAATGCCGACCAGCGCAGGCAGTTGCGCAAGAAGATCAGCTGGTCGGTCAAAATCAGCCATAACCGCAAGGTCGTCAGCCCAACCGATGGGCTTGATCCCTGGGGAGAGGCCAACTTCAGCGCCGGCGCTAGTGTGTACAATACCCTGACGGGTGGCGGCGCGCTGGATATGCTGAAGGCCAACAGCGAAAAGGGCTCCAAAAAGGATGTCAGCGAGGCCGTCGCCTGGACGAGACCCCCGTGACGCAAGGAAAATGTTGGAAGAGCCAGAGAGTGACCAGTGGGAGAGGGCTACACAGTCGCGAAGGAGTGCAACAACGTCCTCCGCAACGCCCAAGGCAGCAAGGGCCCCTTGCTGTTGAAGACTGAGAACCAGCCCAGCAAGGTGGTGGTGCTCTGGCAGGGCAGCGTCATCAGGGAAGCCTTCAAAGAGGAGATCCCGGCTTGCCTCATAATACGCGGCCTGGATATCGACAAAGACCACGGCAACACATCGGCCAGCCGAGATGGAAAGGTCCCAGGCACAACGGAAGGCAGCCAGCGCAAATCCTGTATGGACACCCCTGCTGCCCCCAAGCTGCATAGGCTCGTACCGCGACAGGACGTGGCCTCCCACCGTGGAGCGCAGGTGCGAATGCCATAGCTTCGCAATGCCGTTCGGCCCTTCTTGTAGAGGGCGCATACAATGGCCGCCTTAAAATCAAAAGGCTCCCTCCCTTGGAGAGCGATGCGCACGCACAGGGGCCAGAGCCACTGCCCTGCTGAGGCTCCCTGCGTCCGCCACAGCTCATTCCGCAGACCGTCTGGTCCTGGGGCCTTTGCGGCCGCCTGTCGCACACACATTTGTTCCATCTGCAAGAGGGTGGGGACCGCCTCGGCACACGGGAGGCGAGGTCCATGCATCCATCGCTCAGCGGCGCTGGAGAGCTGCGCTGGACTGACTAGACTGGCCCCCTCCTGGTCTCGGAACTGGGCCTCCAACTCACTATCAATGTCGAATCCACCGGCTGCGTGAACAGACCGACGCTCGTGTGCCTTGCGTGAGGCCCAGCGGAGATGCCGGATGGATTCCAAAGGGACTCCGGTGGCTTCCCAGTGTTTGGTCGCCTCCAGAGTGAGTGTGCGGAAATGAGCCAACTTGTCGGACCTCGCCAGATAGTGGGCCTTCTGCTGAAGACCCCGTACATGCAAGTTACAGGCCTGGAGAAGAAGGCGGGCATGCTGCAGGCCAGTCGGGTCAGGGCGCGAGGGTACAGCGTCGGGGCGTCGGTGGGTGCAACCCAGTCGCCAGACTTGCAAGAGAAAACGGCGCTGCTGCCACTCTAAATTGGTTCGCAGCCGGGGGAGCTGTTCTCGCGCCTGCCGAACTCGATCGAGTGCGGTGACAGAGGCCGCTGTGATGTAAGGCTGGCGGATGGGGCGGCGTGGAGGGCGAGGAAGGGCCCGAAGCAAACAGGAGTGCTGGGTTTTAAGAGCCTGCACTTCGGCACCCACGCTGTCAATGTGCCTGAGAGTGGACGGGAGAGCTCCCCAGAGATCAGCAGCGATGGCTCGTGCCTGGTGCACAGTGGCGCGGGGTGGGGCCGGCGCCTTGAGCCGGGTGGCCTGGCCCCGGAGGTCGCACTCGACCAGAAGAGGCATATGATCCCGACGACTGTTGAGAATGTCCAGCTCAGGTAGCTGTCGGGTGCGACGGCATGACCAGGGGCCAGCCTGGAGCAGGACGTGATCCAGACGCTTGCGGGTGCCACCAGTATGCTCCCAGGACCAGGCCGTCTTGAAGGTCCGAGAAGGAGGCAGGGGCGAGGAGACCAAAACCCTGAATGGTATCGAAAAGGCCCTGCTCACCCGCTCCTTCCTCGCCACTACCAAGAGCATCTCCTATATATGCATGGTCGTCATCGGCCCATAGAAGATCAGCGTTAGCATCGATACCCAGGACCAGAGTGAGGGCCCGTGGGAGCTGGCACAGCTGAGATTGCAGTGAGGACCAAAAGTGACGGACTTCAGGCACCAGTCTGTCAGCGTGTGGAGCATGCGCCGCGACAACGGCCAGAGGGAGGTCCGCCCTTTTACAGACTATGACCAAAAGTCTTGGGTCTGCACAGGCAATCCGCCAGTCATCCAGGCGGAGGGGGGGGTTAACTAGCTGGGGCCTAACCCAAATTTCGCAGCCGTAGCTGCCTTTTTGGGCACCGGAGCGCCAGGTGAGGAGGCCAGCTGTGTCCCATCGGCCTCCTTTGCTGCGCGTCTCCTGAAGGCAGACTACATCGAGGCCCAGTTGGGCGACTTGAGAGTACAAGTATTGACGCCTCTGGCCATGACCCGACGGGTTAAAGAAGGAGGCACAAGAATCCCGCATTGTTTGAACATTAGCCGTAACAATGCGAAGGGATAGCGAGGTTCCTAGCCACAGCGGTCGCTGGGGCGCTAGCGACGGAGCAGCACAGGTCACCTCGGTGGGAGAGCGCTGGAGCCGGCGAGAAAGTCGGCGATCGTATTGGGAAGAATGCCGACCTGACTGTGCACATGTTGAAAGCGAGTGGACATCCGGGACTGGACAGCTTGCCAGATATAGCGAGTAAGGGTGGTGACTGGCTCACTGGCCTGCGCTTGCCCAGCCGCGATCTGAAGCGCAGAGGCATTGTCAACCGCAATGGTGACCTTGGCAGGCGCTGCCGACGTAAGAAGGGAGAGGCGGTCGGCCCAAGCAAGGAGCCAGAGGCCCGCGGCTTGCAGGGCCCAAAGCTCGGCTTGAAAGGAAACACCACTCCCGGGGGCCGCAGTGCCAGAGATCCAAGGGGTATCGGCCCCCGCGGCACCGAACCAACCAACCCGGTACCACTTGTGACGCCACCAAACCCAGACGCAGAAGGCCCATGCTCCTCCACGCTCACCGCTCCCATCAGTGGCGATGAGAACCTGATCGGGCACACCGCCAGACCATAGTGGGAAGCTAGAGAAAGCCTGGCGACAAGGCGCTGGAGCGGATGCCGGGAGGTTCGGGAATAGGTCGTGCGCCCACCAAAGCTGGTGCAAGGAGGCTTGTGCGGCACACTCATGATGGATATCTGCCGCCCAGGAGATTCCATCCGGGCTGTGCCAATCTGGCGCCCCCCATGCGCGAAGATAGCAACTGGTGCGGGAAAGCAGCCCGAAATCCAATCCGTTGGGCGATGGACCTCGAGTCCGAGCAAGGACTTCATTGGGGACCGGCAGAAAACCAAGGTCCATCTTACCCGGAAACAGCCCAGTCAGAAGTACCCAAGCACTGAGAAGGAAGAACCAGTGCCGACCCAGGCGCCCACGAACGACCAAGCTGGCAAGCAACGGAAGCAGCGCTGCCCAGAGGGGAGCCGCTGTCACCATCCCGCAGAAGTCCATCAGCGCCATGGCGAGGCACAACGCGAACGCTTAGGGGGGGTTGGGCAGACAGGACATGGGCCCAACGCAGATTAGGGCTTTCTGGGACAAGATGAAGCCCAAGGTCGTCAACACGGGCTGCTGAAATCCAGCGGCCGACACTAAACCGGACCAGAGAAGGGCGGAAAGTACAATGCTCAGGATCCCACTGTTCATCACTGGTGGCGGGGACAGTAAGCGGGACTGGATCTCCCGGGGTCCATGCAAAGAGAAGTCCAGGCTGCCTGATGCGAAAGGGGCTGCCCCAAAAGGCCAGCTGACGTGCCTGGAGAAGAGTTTCCCAGAACCGCCCGACAGGCGAGCGGAGGCGCGGGGCCCACGTGGCGCTGGCCAGAGTCAGGACATCACCAGACCTGAGGAATAAGGTGGGGTTACAGGTCGTAGCAGTACCGCACCAAGCTTCTGGGGGAGCCAAGACGTATGACAGGTCAGGAACAGAGCGTCTGCTGGCTCGTGCAAGATCAGCCACAGCACATGTAGCGGGCAGGAGTGCAGCCCTAGTGGCAGGCGGGCACTGGATCAGAACAGTGGCAAACAGCGGAGCCGAAGGTACCGGGACCCAGTCAATGAACCGGTGGTCCTGAGGTGGACGAACTCTGGTGAAATCGGACCAAGCTGGGGCAGCCTCCTGCAGAGCAGATGGGGCAAACAAAGATGGCCCCGGAAAAGGCCCAAGGAGGCCCCTAGCAGGGTCCCAGAGGCGGTGGCGAAAGCCAGGCGGCTCGGCAGCTGATCCGTCGCAGCTTGGCGCTGCCAGAGACCACTGTCGGCTGTCGCTCTCATGGGGAAGACGCGCCCCCGACACCGGGGGAAGAGCGATCAGCCATGCAAGCAGGAGAAGGTAGCCCGGGGCCGAGGAGGCAAGGCCGAGTGCCCACCACGCCGCAAGCCCCAGAGAGCAGGTAAGCCAACATGAGGGGGGGTGCCCTGGACAGCCGGAAACAACATCGCCGCTGCGAAGGGTCGTCCCTTGGCGCAGTTCCTGGTGTGGAACACCAAGGACACGCGGCTGAGTGGAAATAGATGGGAGCTCAGTCCAGAGTTGCCAGGCGTCGGTAACGGCTGTGACAAGGGCACACCAGCAATGGCCGTCTGCTTCCACAATGACATTGACCCGCGAGGGGTCCTCCGGCAGCAAAACCAAGTGGGCGTGATCCTGGGCAATCCAGGGAACAGGAACCCAACGCCCAGGATAATGGAGGCCAAAGTCACCGTCAAAAGTATAGTCAAGAGCGCGCCAGCGGCTGCCTGCCGGCGCGTGTCCCCGGATGGCTCGAACAGCGGGCCGCCAAAGTATGAAACTGACGCGTGTGGAGACCGAAAAGTCAACAGCCCAGATGGCGCAATGCCGCACTTGAGCGTCAGAGTGAAAGCACGGAGGTTGGTATTCGGGCACAAAAGCCGCAGGAGGGAGTGCAACAACCAGGTCACCAGAGCGCCAGCGCACTGCTTGATCAGATGTGGCATCGGCTGTGAGAGAGCTGGGTGCTCGAACAGAGAGAGTTTGCATGGGCTGTAAGAAGCGGAGAGCCGCGCTCAGCCAGGACACAGAAGTAGTGCAAGGCACTAGGATGGAGAAGTGCCGATCTAAAGAGGAGACCGCTAAGCAGACAAGGTCAGGTGTCGGGGGCCGGGGAACAACCAGTAGGGCCGGTATGGCAGCTGTCGGCCACACAGGTGCAATTTCAGCACCCCAATTTGGGTCGCAGGAGCGTGTCAGAGCATTGAGCTCTCCTGTAGTCGAGGCAGTGGGCAGTCGCCCAGCCTCTTGAGGACCTGTGAAGGGACTAAGGAGGACAATATCAATCTCTGTGCGGTTGGTGAGATCCACCAGATCGGCCTCTGCGGCTGGGGCCCGCCACGGGAAGAAACCCACACGTATGGGCTGCTCCGGCAAATCTGGAGCGGGAACCATGCCCTGTCCGGCACCAACCAAGCAAGCAAGGGCGAAAAGCCGGGGCCATCTGACGGCAAGAACAGCGAGCCAGGCCCAGCGACCATAAATGGCCGCAGCAACAGAAGGCGAGGGCCCCCAACGTGGGCGCGCAACTGGGCCCGTGGCCGGACCCGCAAGGCTATGCAGGGGCGGTCCGGTAGGGTCCCAAACCGTATCGGCAGTCGGGTCCAGCTCAAGAACATCCCCATCCCGGAGGGGGCTGTCTGCCCGAACGTACTGCAGGGCGGGTAGGAGGCGCCACCCAGGCGGTGCACGGAAGGCATTGCACCCAGCGAGCAACAACCCCTGAGGCTCCAGATCGGGGGGCATTAAGAGGAGGACATGGGCCTCACCAGTGGAGGTGCTGTGCACGAGGTACAGACTGGAGAGATCCCCAGAGAGAACAGGGACCCATGACCCTGACAGCGCTCTTCCATTTAGACTCCAGAAGGTGGGACCCTCGGGATCCCAATAACCCCACACACCCTCAATCCTGAAATCCTACAACCCCTAGGCCCTAGGAACTTTCGCCCTGAACCCCCAAAACCCGAAACGCGCGGAAACCCCAGTGCCGTAAAAACCCTAAGCCCTAAGCCCTGAACAAAACCCGAAAGCCCTAACGAGGACCGATGTCGAGCCACGGTGGAGCAGTATGAAGAGGCAACCTCGGATATGCGGATGTTTCGCTGAAGCAACAAGCTCTGGAGGAGAGAATTTTAGGATTAAGGGCTTCGGATTTAGAATCGCAAGTCCTCAAACCCTAAACCCCCCAGCGTACCAAGGGTTTTCAAGTGCAGGGCTCATGGGTTGTATTTTGCTTCAACAACCATGGTAGTGAACACACAAGGGCTATGCTTTGACCAAGCTTTTCGGACCTCTGTCTTATGGTTCAGGTTTCAAGGTGCGTAAATTTGGAAAACCATGGTGCATGAAATGGAAGCCGATAACCCTAAACCGTAAACTCTAAACCCTAAACCCTAAACTGGTTGAGGCTTGTTGGGGTCTCTCAATCCCAAACACCCAAATGGCAGGCTCGCAAGTAGCAACGGCGGACGCCACCGCGATTGACCCGTGTCCTAGTTTGCAGCCATCCACCGACTACACTGCGCCATCTGTGCTGTCGACGCATGCTTGAACAAGGGGCTGCACCTTCGCCGATAGACATTGCAAGTGCCAGGTGTAGTCAGCGGTGCATGAACACACTTCTCGTGCCTCGTCGCAGGACCTATCTTCGCATGTAGCAAAGGTGACTGACGCCACAGCCTGCACGATTGGCTGCAACGCTAATTGACCTGCACGTGCATGTTGCAGCAACCCATCGCCCGCAGCACACCATCTGTGCTGACGACACTTAAACAAGGTGCTGCACGACTGTCGGTCATGAAGATATGATAACTGACATTACAAGTGCTACTGTAGGTGCTGTCAGCTGTCAGTTCACGCACTTCTCATGCTCGTCGCAAGGCCTACCCCTGTGGGATGTAGCAAAGGTGACTGACGCCACAGCCTTCACAGTTGGCTGCAACGCTAATTGACCTGCACTTTCATTTGGCAGCTGCCCACCGACGACAACACACCATCTGCGCTGACGCTGCTGAAACGAGGTGCTGCACCGTCGTCGACCAGGAAGGAATGACAACGCTGGCAGTACAAGTGCGAGGTGTATAGTCAGTTGAACATGCAAGCACGTCGCAACTCATACCCTATTAACCCCCAGTAGTATGTAGCAAAGGCGACTGACGCCACAGCCTGCACTGTTGGCTGCAACGCTAATTGACCTGCAGTTGCACTTGGCAGCTGCCCACCGACGACAACCCGCCATCTGCGCTGACTGACGCTGCTGAAACGAGGTGATGCACCTTCGTCGACCATGAAGGCATGACAACACTGGCATTACAAGTGCGAGGTGTAGTCAATTATGCATGGAAAGCACGGTTCAAGTTCGTCACAGCTCCTATCCCGGTCTGTAGCAAAGGTGACTGACGCCACAGCCTTCACAGTTGGTTGCAACGCTAATTGACCTGCACTTTCATTTGGCAGCTGCCCACCGACGACAACACACCATCTGCGCTGACGCTGCTGAAACGAGGTGCTGCACCGTCGTCGATCAAGGAATGACAACGCTGGCAGTACAAGTGCGAGGTGTAGTGTAGTCAGTTTCAGTTGTCCATGCAAGCACGTCGCAACTCATACCCTATAAACCCCAGTAGTATGTAGCAAAGGTGACTGACGCCACAGCCTGCACAGTTGGCTGCAACGCTAATTGACCTGCACTTGCATTTGGCAGCTGCCCAACCGACGACAGCACACCATCCGTGCTGACGATGTCCGAACAGGGTGCTGCATAAGTCACAGAGACCTAAACCCCTAAACCCGATATCCCTCAAACCCCACCCCCCTTCAAACCTGAACCACGTTCATCCTAAACTCCCTGTAACCCCAAGTCCCTAAAACCCCAAACCCCTCAAACCCCTAGACTAGTTCCCAAACTCCAAGCCCCAAACCCCTGAACGCTAAATCCCCCAAACCCTGCCCCCCCGAAACCCACAAAACCTCAAACCCCTGAAACCCTATAAACCCCTAATATAATTAGAAGAGGGTTTCGAGGTATATTATACTATAACCCTCTAAACCTGCGAGCCCGCAGTTCTTTTGCGGCCAGGAGTCCAACTCTGAGAGCTCGGAAAGCGCGAGAACTTGCTCCAAGGACCAGCTGGACGCCTCGGTTAGGATCCCTTTAAGGGTGCCTTTAAAGGCTCCTGTAATTTAAGGAGCCCTTTCAGTGTTTTTGTTTTTAAGGGCTAGGGTTTAGGAGTTTAGGGTTTAGGGTTGTCTCTTTAGGTTTCCCTGTATGGGCGCCCTGCTCTTTAAGGAAATCCGTTAAAGGGTTTAGGGTTTAGGACTTAGGGTTCCTCTAAGGAGTCCTATTTAGGGTGCCTTGAAGGGATCCTTTGAGGCTCCCTTTAAGGGTTGAGGGGCTAGTCTTTACAGTAAACCCATAAAGTTGGAAACCGGATTAAGGCCAAATCGTGCTGGGATTCCCTATATATTACTCTTAAGGGTTGAAGCTATTGGGTTTCCAGCTTTTGGGCTTCTACTGTACAGTGTGCTTGCAGGTATCTATTCCGAGTCAGGCTGCTGGTAGGTTCACGTGTTGGTTCGGCGTAGGAAATTCAAGGGGCTCCGGATTTAGATATCAGTGTTCAAGGGTTCAAGATTTAGCGCTTGTAGTTCTGTCGTGGCTATCTGTGCTGGCGGTGTTTCGGCTTTGGTATACTCGCCAAAAGAGCTTCAACCGAGAACCCCCTTGCTGTTTTGGATGGGTTTCTGCTGTACTTGGGGGTGTAAAGCTTAAGATACCCTAAACTCTGGGCCAAACTCCTTCTAGCCTTCAGCCCAGCCTCAAAAAAAGGCTCATATTCTCTCCCGGGTAGCCTAAGCCCTAATGAGCCCGAGACCCAAAACCCTACACCCCTAAATTCCCCAAGTTTTCGAAAGTCCCTGAAGCCTACATCCTCATACCTAAACCCCTAAACCCTAAAGTCCCTGAACCCGAAATTCCCTAAACACAACCTGACATGCTGGCAGGCGGCATTGAAGAGCAAGACACGTTCGCAGGTGAGGACCAGGGCTTGGCGACTCCGCATCCAGTTTGCCTCGAGCTCAATAGGCTTGGGATTGTGGGGTTTAGGGCTTGTAGGGTTTAGGGTTTAGGGTTTGGGGTTCAGGGTTTAGCGTTGAGGGTGCAGGGCCTTTAGGGTTAAGGGTGCAGGCTTCTTAGGGTTCAGGGTTTAGGGTTTTGGGGTTCAGGGTACAGGGTTTTAGGGCTTTGGAATTTAGGATTTAGGCTTTTAGGGTTTTGGGTTTGGGGTTTTCGTCCTAGGGTATTAGGAAACCCTGAAACCCTCAACTAGTAAGTAGTGTTCAGGAAAGCTTAGGGCTTAGGGGTTAGGGTTGTGGAGCTCCGGGTAGGGCGAGCGGGCCCTCAGTCAGCGCCAAGGTGCGAAAATATAGCCGAGATGATTGAAATTACGCCCTGGTTCTTAGTGCGGAATGGGGGAATGGCGCTATGTGAACTATGAGGGATCATCATAGGGATCCATTCCCCCGCTCCTTACTAGTTCTTTACTACTGGGACTTAGTAAGTATACCTATAACTAGAGTTACAAGTACCCTAGATGGAGTTACCCCAGTTGTAACTCTACTTGAGTCCCCTGGCCCTCCAAGTAGTAAGAAACGAGTATGGAGCGGGGGAATGGATCCCTATGATAATCCCTCAAGAGTAGTTCTCATAACCCATGCTCCCGCTCCTTACTAGTTCCTTACTACTTGGAGGGGCAGGGGACTTAGTAAGTAGGTTATACGTAGAGTTTTTCAGTACCCTAGATGGAGTTACCCCAGTTATAACCCTACTTATAAACCATTTACTAAGCCCTAAGCCCTAAACCCTAAATTCCCCTGGCCCTCCAAGTAGGAACCAGGGAGATGATGACAGACTGCTTAAAGGATCATGGGACTTAGTAGCTAGGGTTATACTTAGGGTAATTCTACGTATGACTACTTATAAGTCCAATTAAGGTACTTATAACCTTACTTACTAAGGACCATGATCCTCCAAGTGGTGCCGGTCTTTCATTACCCCCCGACGATCCCAAGACCTCAAGCCTCAACCAAAGAAAACCCAGAACCCTCAACTCCAATGCGCAAAACCTTAGTTGCTGAGTTCATAAGCCCCGAAAAGTATACACTTTCAGTCTTAAAAATGGGTAATATTATCCCAAGCAGCTACTAAGACAATCCAAACCCAACCCCAAAGGCCCAAGAGGTCTGCGCTCATGGTCCTGACCGTGAATTTATGTCGAAGGCGCTGGATCCGCATAAACGCCGACAACCCGCTCCACCAAAGCTCCCCTTAGTGGACAGAACACCCGTAGGCAGCTATGAGTATGAAGGCCTCATGAAAGAGTCAGCTACAACAGTGGTACATTCTGATACAACCATTTTATAGGCACTATAGCTGGGCTTTTAAAGTAATCAGTGACCAGGGAGAAAAACATAAACGCTAATTTCGTGATGGTCCCTTTAAGAAAAAGTTCTAAAGACTGGTACTCCAAAGCCCAGATAAGGATTTGCTATCGTTAGCCATTCAGACACATGGCTGCATCAACCTGTGGGTTACTTGGAGGATCATGGGACTTAGCAAGTGACGTTATAAGTACCTTAATTGGAGTTATAAGTAGCTATAAGTAGAATTACCCTAATAATAACCCTGTTACTAAGTCCCATGATCCTTTAAGTAGGGCCTACTAAGTAGGGTTCCTCAGGCTGAA